GTTCACAATGAGCTTATTAAATACTTTTAAAATTAACCATGCTGTCTAATTAATTTAGATTGAGGCTCATCAGGTAAGGATTTGAACAAAATAAACTGCATTACCAGCACTTCAAATAAATTATAAGTTTCATGAGTTCTAAGAATTGCTATTAATATATAAGTCCTTTAAAATTGGTTTTTCATTACCATTCAAAATCAGAAAGAGTCCAAGCTTCTCTTAAACTGATTGATGCTTACATATGTTTATTCTGTTATTATCAAACACCTGCTATATGAAAGACACTGAGCTGTTAATAGTTGCTGCAGAAGCTATAACGCAGTAAAATATTGATGCATGCCTCAAGTAGTTTATTGTCTAGCTGAAGAGATAAGGTAAATATACACATGTGAAAAGATAACTGACAATACCAGGCAGTATATGACTGATGGAAAATACATAGTTTGGTGTGTGCGTGTACAGGTGTAGTATATGTAATAGTATACATGTAAAGTGCTAGAGGAGTTCAGATGCATAGCATACACACATGGAGGAGTTTAAATGCAGGCAAGATCACTTATAACCTGGGTGCTCAGAATTTCATCTGGGCCTTAAAGATAAATAATATTTGGAAAGGAGAGAGAAAGCTCATTACAAATAGAGGGAAAAGAAATAACAAAAGTCAGGAAGTTGGGTCCTGGGAGTTTTGTAGAAATGGAAAATTTATGCAGAAGAGTGTAGACAAAAAAGACAGATGAGGGCCATATTTTGGAGGACCTTAAAGGGCAAAGGAATTTGGATTTCAAACTCTTGGCAAAGAGAAGCTGCTGAAGATTTTTGAGTTAGGGAAGTGAAATAATGATGTGCAGTGTTGATTGAAGTTGGGAGGGGAAGGAGACAGAAAGACCAATCAAGAATTTCCTGTAGTTGTCTAGGAGTAGACGATGAGGACCTAAACCAAAGTGTTATCAATGGAAATTGGAATGAAAGGAAAAATGGAAAAAAACATTCAAAAGAAGATTTAGAAAGGACCAGAGTCAAATATGACTTCAATAATTTGTTCCTTTGTGATTGGGAAAATGGTAGTATTATTAACAGAACTAGGGTGTCAGCAGGGTGAGTTGCTTTCTTGTTCATATTTGGACATGTTGAATTGGAGGTAACAGCAGGACATCTAAGTAGAAAGTAGTCTAATAGTTATTTGGAGATTTGGGTCTGGTCTTGGGAGTGAGGTCAAGGTTAGACAGATATTTTGGTGGTATCATCGAAAGTGTAAGAATAGAAGAAGTCTTCAGAAGCAAAGAGCACAGTATTGTGAACTAAACTGAAAATATATCTACATTCAGTAATAAGGGAAGAATTTTAAAATAATTTTTCTTTAAAATCTTTTAGCCTTTGTTTTAGTTATTTGATAGTTTTGGCTTTTCAAATGCTTTTTCATAGTGGTGAATCAAGAAACCATAATGAAGAAATATACTAATTTTGTATATGTTCCCAATGTGTATTTACTAAATACCTGTATTTTACCTTTTTAGAGCTGTATTATAAAGCGATACTGCGAGAAGAGATTTGTGTCTAAATACCTGGCAACAATTGGAATTGACTATGGAGTCACAAAGTGAGTATATTGTTTCCCTGGGCTTGTAAATTACACAGAAATTCAGAACTCTTTCTAAAATGACCTATATTTGCATCAATGCACTTATGCAGGTAATCTTGAAATAGAGACTTTGAAGATAAATTGGGAAAGATAGGATTAAGAGACCCTTACAAGTATGTAGTGATCATATCATTCCTTCATTCAGCCCATGTGTTGAGCACATTCCATTCACCAGGCCTTGTGTTAGGCGTGGAGTCTACAAGGATGAATATGTCAACACAAAGCCTAACTGGCATACGTAGGTTTTCAGGAAACATGTTTCTGTATAAGTAGGTCTTACCAGCAGGTATGTTTTTAGAGCATTTTGAAATATTCTCTCTAAAAAGTCTAAATATGTGGAAAATTTTCTATCAGAGAACTTCCCTTATTGGTTTATGATCTTTATAGCCTATTGGAATCCAGCAAAAATGATCTGGGAAGAGTAAAGTTGGGTCTAATTGGGGATTTATGTGGAGGTGAATCAAGAGTGGATGAAGCTTGGGAGCTAGGATTCAATTAGCAGGAAATAACCATAGAGTAGAATTGGGATAGACAGCCCGCTTCCTAAACATGGAATTTCAGGGGCTTGCTCTTCTCTTATTACACACTTTACTCTCCATCCATGGTGAACTGCTGCCCTCATACTTTCCTGTCTCAGTGCCATTATTCATTCTGTCCAGTTGGAATGTGCCTTCCCCTCATCTCTCCACCTGCCAAGCTCTTCAAGGTCTAAAATCCTACTGTTCCCATAAGGCCTTCTGAACACCCCCTCTATTGGTCAGGACTCTTCAGTTGCAAATGACAGAAATGATAAAGTTCTTGATGCTATCTATGGTACTTATCATAAATTGCTTTCAGTATAATTATTATTTGTATATGTTTAATGTCTCCTACTAGATTATAAACTCCCTATTAGTATAAAGTTTCTCCAAGTGCTTGGCATAGTGCTTATGTCTAGTAGATACTCAACACATATGTATCGTTAGGTAAGATAGATACATCTAGAGAGCAAGTTTGCCAGGTTAGAATATAAGGGTAATATTCAGGAAGGTAGACCAAAGTGGGGGGGTATATCTAGCAGAATGTCAATTATGTGAAGAGCAGAGTCAAGTTCAGGTGTGTCTTTCATGACCGTAATCAAAGGGGCTCAAGTATGTGGTAAAGTAAAAAAACTCAAGTAAGAGTTCTATGTAATACTATTATAGCACCATTTTTCAACTGGTATTTCTACAAGTTTTCTTTGAAGAATGAAAATTGTAGCTCTTGGCAATGAAATACATGAAGCTCTTTGTTTGAAATCTACATTTCTTTCTTTCTAGTTTTCCTTTTCTCTTTCCTACTTCAAGTCACAGAATTTCAACAATGTTGTGGTAGGATATTCTCTTTAAGGTGGTTTTGTTTTGAATTCATATAAGTAGCTAGTTTATTTACTAAGAAATAAGAATTAACATATTATGCCATAGGACTGTGGTTTATTCAACAGAATAT